AGCGCACGCAAGGTCCCCCTGCTCAAGCCAGCGCATGTCCAGGCCCGTCTGAAGTTTGCCAATGACTATCTGGATGATCCAGAGGAGGAATGGGAGAAGGTCATGTGGTCTGATGAGACAAAAATAGAGCTTTTTGGTCTAAACTCCACTCGCCGTGTTTGGAGGAAGAAGAAGGATGAGTACAACCCCAAGAACACCATCCCAACCGTGAAGCATGGAGGTGGAAACATCATTCTTTGGGGATGCTTTTCTGCAAAGGGGACAGGACGACTGCACCGTATTGAGGGGAGGATGGATGGGGCCATGTATTGCGAGATCTTGGCCAACAACCTCCTTCTCCCAGTAAGAGCATTGAAGATGGGTCGTGGCTGGGTCTTCCAGCATGACAACGACCCGAAACACACAGCCAGGGCAACTAAGGAGTGGCTTCGTAAGAAGCATCTCAAGGTCCTGGAGTGGCCTAGCCAGTCTCCAGACCTGAACCCAATAGAAAATCTTTGGAGGGAGCTGAAAGTCCGTATTGCCCAGCGACAGCCCCGAAACCTGAAGGATCTGGAGAAGGTCTGTATGGAGGAGTGGGCCAAAATCCCTGCTGCAGTGTGTGCAAACCTGGTCAAGACCTACAGGAAACGTATGATCTCTGTAATTGCAAACAAAGGTTTCTGTACCAAATATTAAGTTCTGCTTTTCTGATGTATCAAATACTTATGTCATGCAATAAAATGCAAATTAATTACTTAAAAATCATACAATGTGATTTTCTGGATTTTTGTTTTAGATTCCGTCTCTCACAGTTGAAGTGTACCTATGATAACAATTACAGACCTCTACATGCTTTGTAAGTAGGAAAACCTGCAAAATCAGCAGTGTATCAAATACTTGTTCTCCCCACTGTAACTATTTGTTCAGCACTTTTGAAATGTACAGCAACAGAATTCAGAACAAGGGCCGTTCTTACAGTATTCTCCCTGTACCCCAAGTCAGAACTGTAGGATAAATCAAGGGGGCATATAAGCAGACAATGAAAGCTCTTACAATATTCGATGATGACATTTCTCTAAAACAGGCTATAGGCTACATGTGCTCCACCAAGTCAGAACAGTAGGCTAAGTTATGAGGGGAAAAGGGACCAAATTATTAGGGTGAGCACATGGGCTACCAATAGCTTACTACACAACATACACTTAGTATTACTTTCTTAGCTACATTATACAGTAAAAGTCGGAAGTTTACATACACCTTAGCCAAATACATTTAAACTCAGTTTTTCACAATTCCTGACATTTAATCCTAGTAAAAATTCCCTTTATTTTAAGAATGTGAAATGTCAGAATAATAGTAGGGAGAATGATTTATTTCAGCTTTTATTTATTTCATCACATTCCCAGTGGGTCAGAAGTTTACATACACTCAATTAGTATTTGGTAGCATTGCCTTTAAATTGTTTAACTTCGGTCAAACGTTTCGGGTAGCCTTCCACAAGCTTCCCACAATAAGTTGGGTGAACTTTGGCCCATTCCTCCTGACAGTGCTGGTGTAACTGAGTCAGGTTTGTAGGCCTCCTTGCTTGCACACACTTTTTCAGTTCTGCCCACAACTTTTCTATAGGATTGAGGTCAGGGCTTTGTGATGGCCACTCCAATACCTTGACTTTGTTGTCCTTAAGCCATTTTGCCGCAACTTTGGAAGTATGCTTGGGGTCATTGTCCATTTGGAAGACACATTTGCGACCAAGCTTTACCTTCCTGACTGATGTCTTGAGACTTTGCTTCAATATATCCACATAATTTTCCTTCCTCATGATGCCATCTATTTTGTGAAGTGCACCAGTCCCTCCTGTAACAAAGCACCCCCACAGTGTGATGCTGCCACCCCTGTGCTTCACGGTTGGGATGGTGTTCTTCGGCTTGCAAGCAACCCCCCTTTTCCTCCAAACATAGCGATGGTCATTATGGGCAAACAGTTCTATTTATGTTTCATCAGACCAGAGGACATTTCTCTAAAAAGTACGATCTTTGACCCCATGTGCAGGTGCAAACCGTAGTCTGGCTTTTTTATGGCAGTTTTGGAGCAGTGGCTTTTTGCTGAGCGGCCTTTCAGGTTATGTCGATATAGGACTCGTTTTACTGTGGATATAGATGCTTTTGTACCTGTTTCCTCCAGCATCTTCACAAGGTCCTTTGCTGTTGTTCTGGGATTGATTTGCACTTTTCGCACCAAAGTACATTCATCTCTAGGAGACAGAACGCGTCTCCTTCCTGAGCGGTATGACGGCTGCGTGATCCCAAGGTGTTTATACTTGCATACTATTGTTTGTACAGATGAACGTGGAACCTTCACGCGTTTGGAAATTGCTCCCAAGGATGAACCAGACTTGTGGAGGTCTACAATATTTTTTCTGAGGTCTTGGCTTATTTCTTTTGGTTCTCCCATGATGTCAAGCAAAGAGGCACTGAGTTTGAAGGTAGGCCTTGAAATACATCCACAGGTACACCTCCAATTTACTTAAATGATTTCGATTAGCCTATCAGAAGCTTCTAAAGCCATGACATCATTTTCTGAAAATTTCCAAGCTGTTTAAAGGCACAGTCAATTTAGCGTATGCAAACTTCTGACCCACTGGAATTGTGATACAGTGAATTATAAGTGAAATAATCTGTCTGTAAACAATTGTTGGAAAAATTACTTGTGTCATGCACAAAGTAGATGTCCTAACCGACTTGCCAAAACTATAGTTTGTTAACAAGAAATGTGTGGAGTGGTTGAAAAACCAGTTTTAATGACTCCAACCTAAGTGTATGTAAACTTCCGACTTCAACTGTACATACATCCCTGGCATATTACATTATTTATGCAGCAACATACAATACATTTTTGGACTCAACTTGTTGTGCTGTGCTCACTTGAACAGGAAGGTGGCACGGCGGTCCTTCGTGGGGCAGATTTTGTCATCAAACTTTGTCATCAAAGTCTGGCATTCTCTGGATTTATGATGCTTTCAAGACAACTGGGAACTCTGAAAAAAACAACGTCGAATCATGATGTCAGTGATCTTCAGGTCGGAGCTCTAGAGAGAGGCCCGAGTTCCAACTTGGAATTCCGAGTTGGATGACCATTCAAAACGTATTTACCCAGTCAGAACTAGTTTCTTTCGAGTTCCCAGTTGTTTTGAACTCACTGAAGTCAGAGTTCCCAGTTCTGAGTTTCCAGTTGTTTTGAATGTGGCAGAAGTCATGCTGGATTGACAGCATGGCCAATGTTGAATGTTTATCCTTTTAAGGTTGGAAAAGAGACACTTAATCTCAGACTTGGATCACACACCCACTCCACTGAATAGCAGGCTAGTGATTGCTTTGCAATGCTTGCAGTTAACCACTGATTCCTTCCAAACCACTCATTGTTGAATTTGCTATTTCCAACTTGTTGTGTAATGTTTATGTCCAATGGCCGATGCCATAGACTTACATTAGAAGTGCCGTTTTACGTAGGCTCAACGTCAAATCACGTAGCTTTGATTGGACTGATCATGTCAACATCATACTTTCAAAATCTTAACTAGCAAGCTAGCAGATCCTCATGAATCAAGTTGACAATCTACTGGCAAATCCTTTTCAATCCTTGTCATATGAAGAGAAATTATGAAGAGGCACTTCTAATGTAACTCTATGGCAGCACCCAAGGGGCTGGAATTTGAGCTCTCCCCGTAGATTTTGCGATGACATAGTGTCCCCATGAGTGACAGAACACTGAGCCAATCACAGTGCAACTAGAGAACATTACCAACCCCTACGCTTCGTATTTTCTGTTGGCTGCCCCACCACCTCAGAAAGCACTGAGCTAGGCTGAAACACCTGCATTTTGGAGCTGCCTTAGTCAAGAAAGCAAAAAAGAGACCATGTTTGTATGTGGCTTTATTAACTGACTGATTTTCTGCCCCACCTGCCCTGAATGACAGGTCGCCACTGGTCATATTGCTATCTTGCACCAGGCAGGGAAATTCAAGGTAGCTATTATCAACCATGTAGCTAGCTACTAATAGCTATGTTAGCTAGCTACCTTGACATTGCTAACGTTAGCTACCTTTCTGGCTGACAACATGAATATTACAACAATGTATAAAAAATTTGTACCTGTTCTGAAGACATTATTGCTCAAATGGAATCGAGTTATCTTAAATCTTGTCCGTAACTGTTAACGCACAGTCTCAAATTTCCCGACAATGTTTCCCGACAACCTCTCCCGAAATGTGAGCAAGACAAAGGAGCTGATCGTGGACTACAGGAAAAGGAGGGCCGAACAGGCCCCCATTAACATCGATGGGGCTGTAGCGGAGCGGGTCGAGAGTTTCAAGTTCCTTCGTGTCCACATCACCAACAAACTATTGTGCAGAAAACACAGAGCCGGTCAAGTTGTATTGGAAAGCTGATAAGCAGACAATTCATCAGGTTGACGATGGAAATCTTACCATGAACTTTGTTTTCCATCACCAACTACATTTCAACATTTCATTTTTTATTAATTTCTAAAATGTTCTAAAAAGAAATGTGCACTTTGAAATTATGGGGTATTGTGTGTAGATCAGTGACACAAAATCAAAATGTAATCAACTTTAAATTCACAACAAAATGTGGAAAAAGTAAAGGGGTGTGAATACTTTCTGAAGGCACTGTATATGGTTCCACTTACCACTTTTTTTCTAAGAGTGTACTCTCATATATGTGTGTGTATGAGCATGCATCCGCACATGAGTGTGTGTGTGTGTCTCTGTGTGCTGTTTGTGTGCTGCTTGATTGCAGTGTATCCATAGTGTCTTCTACAGTCCTTATAGGACCCGCACAGCACATCATTTGCTCCAAAATGCTCCTATTGCTCCATCGTACCTTTATTTGGCTAGTTCCCTACCACTTTGGATCAAGACGTTGTCAAGTAACTAGCCAAATAAAGGTATGGTGGAGCAATAGTGTGTACCGGTCCTAATGCGTCCTAATGGACTCCATTGACTATTCTCCAGTATTACCCTTGCTCTCGGCCAGCAGTTCCTCGGTCATGAGTCCGTCCTGCCTGTTGCCCAGTACGAAGGCCAGGAAGGAGAGCATGAGGGCATTCAGGACCCCCATGATAGCCAGGATGTAAGCCCAGCGCATGGAGCACGCTCCCAGGCTGTACTTGTCTGTCTGCTCACCGCACATCCTCCGCACCTCGTCACTGTCCCAGCCATCAGGGTAGATTATACAGCCCATCACCAGACACACACCTGGAGGGGAGGAGAGGAGGAGGGGGGAGAAGGGGTGAAGGGAGGAGAGGAGTGGGGGAGGGAGGAACAGAAAGATGAAGAGTAGGGGTATAGTAGTGGGATTAGGAGGGTTAGGAGAGAGAGACAGAGAGAGAGAGAAAGAATGATAGAGAGAAAAAACAGATATTATTTCCAGTGCTTTATGTCTTTCCCCTTCTATCATCTCCTGTTTGCTATTAATTCATTAATCTATCGATCTCTCCAGACCTCTGCTCTCCTGGGGACCACAAGAGTTTCTATCTGCAAGCTCGCAAGGGGAAAGTGGATACCTAGTCAGTTGCACAGCAGCAACAACAAGGCTGAAAAGCTTCGCCAGAAGCTAAGAGTAACAGAAGGTTGATGGTATGAAATCATTCCTCCAAGGCCCTGCAGTCTTTCCCTGCTATCTTCTATATCTGTGATGGTCAGTGAACTGACAGTCCGGGCTGAGCTAGCCTGTTAGTTAGTCTTGTTTTGCTACATGAGTTCATATTCATACCCCCCTCTCAGAAACTCAATGCATAGTACACACACGCAAGCATGCACGCACACACACTGAAGAGACACAGACCATGCACAGATGTGCTGCTTTGAATTTGGCTTTCGCCCCTTCGCCTCTCCCTCTTCAATATTAAGTAGCTACTTCTTGATCGCGGTTTGGTTTTCGCCCAAGGGGAAGAATCTTCCTCATCTTCAATTTGGATGAGGTGTGTGTGCTGTGTGTGTGAGTGTGTGTGTGTGTGTGTGTGTGAGAGAGAGAGAGAGAGTGTGTGTGTGTGTGAGTGTGTGTGGGCGCGTGCTTGAGAGTGTGTGTGCGTGCATGCGTGAGAGTTTGTGTTTGTGTGTGCGTGAGAGTGTGTGTGTGTGCGTGCATGTGTTAGAGTGTGTGTGTGTGTGTGTGTGAGGTGACGCTGTGGCAGTAGAAGAAGGAGGTGGAAAAGGAGCTGACTGCACAATTACCCAGAATGCATTTCAACATTAATAATACAACACGTTCCTCCACCCCCACAACTTCTCTCACATCCCCTGACACTGTTTGTGTGTGTGTGTGTGTGTGTGTGTGGGGGGGGGTGTATGTGTGGGTGTGGGTGTGTGTGTGTATGTATGTGTTTTGTCTTCATGATACAGTGTAAATGTGGATGTGTATGTGCATTTGGACACTCATGCTCTCATCTCCTCCCTTTCCCTAAATCTTTCCTTTTCTACTCTGACCTTTCATCCTCTCCTTCCTCTCACGCCTTATGGAGGTGGAGGCACCAGACAGGCCGCCCGACACGGGAATCTCACGGGTCAGTTCGGGACAGCCCAGTTAGTGGACCCAACCTCCAGAACGCGAGGGGCCAGGTGATCGTGGTGGACGGCGTGCTGTTACCCGGGCTAAGTGAGTCGCACTACCCACACTTTGCCATCAAGCGTAATTTATTGTATCAGATAGTAAAGCACAATGGGGAGACGAAAGACTTGTTGTTCATACCCACCCAGTATGTTAGAACTGTCTTGCAGCTCGCCCACACCCACCTGCTTGGGGCACACCTGGGGATGGAGAAAACCAGGGAGCGGATTGTGAATCCATTCCACTGGCCCGGAGTCAAGCGTGCCGTGTAGGACTACTGCCGTACCTGCCCGGAGTGCCAGATCACAGCCCAGAGGGCACATTATAGAAACCCTTTGGTTCCCTTACCCATTATAGGGGTGCCGTTTGAGCGGATGGCAATGGATCTGGTGGGTCCGTTGGTGAAGACCACAAGGGGACGCCACCCGGTATCCAGAGGCGATCCCGTTACGTACGGCAGCAGCAAAAGGTATCGCACGGGAGCTCTTCCATTTATTCAGCCGGGTGGGTATTCCACGGGAAATCCTGACGGACCAGGGAACTGCATTCATGTCTCGTATAATGAAAGATGTCTGCAATATGTTACGAATCAAACAGGTGTGGACCAGTGTGTACCATCCACAAACGGATGGGCACATGGCCCAGGCGCAATGCGCCCAGGAGCAAGTATACAACCGGGGGGCCCAACCACGAGAGTTCCACCTGGGTGAGAAGGTCTTGGTGCTGATCCCCACAACAGAGAAAAAATTCCTGGCTATGTGGCATGGGCCCTACGACATCGTCGAACGGGTAGGCAACGTCAATTATAAGGTCCGCCAACTGGGGCAGAGAAAACCACTCCATGTGAACCAACTGAAGAAGTGGCACGCACGAGATGCGCTGTGTGCAATGTGGACCCGGCCCCAGCAGAACCCGCCCTCTGTCGAAGTTTCCATGGGGGAAGGCAAGATACGTCAGCACCCTGGACCTGACGAAGGGGTACTGGCAGGTGCCACTGCCAGCGGCCTCCCGGGAGAAGACGCCTTCTCCACCTCGGGGGAGGGGGGGGGCTATACCACTACTGGGTTCTTCCTTTCGGACTCTACAGGGACCCAGCGACCTTCCAGCGATTCATAGACCGTGTCCTGCGCCCGCACCGTGAGTATGCTGCTGCGAATTTGGATGATATAATCGTGCACAGTGACAGTTGGGAGTCCCATCTCTGTAGGTTACAGGCGGTGGTGGATGCGCAAAGGGATGCAGGGCTGACCGCAAACCCCCACAAGTGCAAGCTGGGCTATGCAGAGGTGGAGTACCTGGGCTATCGAATCGGGCGGGGAAATGTGAAGCCCCAAGAAAGATTAAGGAATGGCCGGTCCCCCGAACCAAGAGGCAGGTGAAGTCGTTCCTGGGTTTAGCAGGCTACTACAGTCGTTTTGTACCTAACTTTGCTGCAATAGCTTCTCCCCTCACAGTCATGACAAAGGCACGCCTACCCAAGACAGTGGGGTGGACGGAGGACACAGACGGCATTCCAGGCCCTGAAGGATGTGCTATGTTCGCACCCAGTACTCGTCACCCCAGACGGGGAGGTCTACCCCGGGGGTTGGTGATAGAGGGGAGGTATGTGCCGTGACGTTGGCTCCCTCTGCTGGGAGTACACGGGCTGGGCACCCCGACGCTGATGGGCCAAGTAGAGGTAATTAGGGGAGAGTGCCAGCCAGCTGTGCGGGCCACATAAAGGGAGCACCATGGTACACCGCGAGGAGGACAAGACAAAGAGAGAGGCAAGGAGTGCACCGGCGAAGGGGAATGAAGCTCCTGGAGGCACGGAGCCGAGTGTGAAAAGAAGTACAGAGCCAACCCTGAATGATTTTGTTGTTATCTTTATTTTTGTTGCCTAGTAAAGTTGTGTTTTTCTGACTAGAACCTCCCTGTTTCTGTGTCCATCTCTGCACGCTCAACCCAACACCCCACGGTTTACCACAAACGAAACGTCAACGTTCTCCGATATCTGTTGAAAACCCGTAGGTCCAATATGGGGCGTATCCCCCCCCCCCCCCCCCCCCCCCCCCCCCCCCCCTTTTTGGGAACCAGGAAGTAATGAGAGTTGCTGGTACTATTCTGATTGCCCTTTTGCTCAACATAGAGCAGATCTCCTCTAGTATTCAACGTTTGCTACTGAAAGCACCACTCCGTTGAATGAGGTTTTCTTTCTGGCAAACTGACGCCTGTACCTTCTCGTAAACGTGGACAGGACCCATAAGTGAGCGAAAGAACGAGTAATTGAAATATAACAGAACAGAGCTTCTCCTAGCTTCTTCCTTTCCTCTCTTCTCCTCTCCTTCCAGTCCATCTGGCTCTGACTGTCAAAACCCATTTACACAAGGAGAGCAAGGAGAGAGTTCAGGTGGATCTACTGACTGTTATCAGCCTGGGATGGAAGGAGAGAGTTCAGTTGTATCTAATGCTGTCAGAGGGATGGCTGAATAAGTGCAGAGTGGACTAAGCCGTTTCCACATCAGGGGTTGATGAAGGGAACGAGACTAGCTGAAAGGCACTGACTTTGTACCCTTTTCACACTACTGAGCAGAGCAAAGCCAAGCTAAGCTGTACTGCACCAGTCTGGTTATGCCCTAGTTGCTGGAACCGCGCTGGACAAAGTGAAAAGAGAGCTGTTAAGGGAGAGGAGCTGTCCATTGTGCTGAAAAGTAGGGAAGCAACCTATGCACTGGGCTGTCCACGTTGCTGGGTGTGCTACACAGGAGAATAGGAGATGTCACTTGGCCTAAAGGGTTTGTGAAAAGGTATTAAGAGATGACAAAGCTTAAAATACAATCATGCGTTAGTAATACCAGCATTTGTCAGATTGAAGGGGATATTACTCAAGGGCATAGTCTACTTTGACTAAGATTATGATTTTTTTTAGATTATGATGTCATCAAGTTACTACAATTGCATAAGTATATGTATGACTTCAATCTTCAGTCTCATGAATGTATTTATTTCAAAGCTGAGAAAAGCTCTGGGGTTTCTCTCCTTGGATTTGGCTTTGTCTTGTCACTGACATGAATATTACATTGTGGCAATGGGGAGAGGGGGAAAGGTACACATAGCTAGAGTGCTACTGGTACAGGTGTGAAAATGGAGAGAGAGAGAGAGAGAGAGAGAGAGAGAGAGAGAGAGAGAGAGAGAGAGAGATTTAATTGCTATAGAAACAATGGTGAACACAGCATTCAGTCTGGTTTAAAAAGGCTATTTAGCACAACTAGGGGGCAACACTGAGTTACTTTCCCATTTTACACACACACCTTTCCCATCTCCTGTCTCTTGAGACACCATGTCATAACAGGAACAGAAGGGGAGCACATGTCAAACACACTGTAACAACACACACACACAAACGCACGCATAAGCACACACACACACAAAGACACACACACACGCACACACACACACACACACACACACACACACACTGTATCAACCCAGAAACACTACAATCCACAGCTATACAATGCAGCACCTGCCACAGCCAGCACCCAGCAGCTCCATTCTAACATTTAAACAGCAGCACAGCACCAATCTGCCTTATAGCTCTGTTACATAACATAATAACAAAACCAAGGCTTAATCACAAACCACTAAGACACAATAACAACAACAGTTAAACATGCAACGAAAATGACAATGCTCAGTCCAGATTTTGGGATAGAGGGTTTAATTGGGGGGTTTAAACACACTGTAGGAAGTGACAGAGTTGACAACTGGTTGTAATCTGGTTATACTGTAATTGCATCATTTCAACCAGGGTTCTCTCTCTCAATCCCAATCCCACTGCTTCAAGTCGCTTTGTGCAGAAATTATGGGGAATTGGGGATATATTAAAGTGATTCTAAATAACACTGTTTGTTGTAGTAGATCTATTAAATAATCTCAGAACAAAAAACCAAATATCTTGTGCGCTAGTTATATTTTGTTTCTAAATGAAAGTCTGACATTAGAAATTAAGTAAATCCTATACCACTAGCTAAAACATACAGTACTGTAGTACAGTTGACATCAGTGTTTATTTGTTCAAGTGTTTCATTACTGTAAGTACATCTGAATGTGAAGACTGACCCTTCATCTACAGAGTAATATTCGGGATGGATGAGTTATGCAATGAGTCATAGCAACAGCATCAGCACCACCTGACTGCATGCAGCTGTCGATCAAAGAGGATGTTAACTGATGGCATTTTCTCCTCTTTTAGCTTTGCCCTTTTCTCTCTGTTCTGTTCCCTTGAGAGCAAGACGAGAGAGAGAGAGAGAGAGAGAGAGAGAGAGAGAGAGAGAGAGAGAGAGAGAGAGAGAGAGAGAGAGAGAGAGAGAGAGAGAAATAACTACGTAGAGAAATGTAAATGAGCAATTAGAAAGTGCTAGAGAGGGCAAAAAGAGAGAGAGGTGGTGGAAACACAGAGAGAGGGAGTGATAGAGAGAGAGAGACAGGAAAGGGAAGAGTGAGAGAGAGCACCTGCGGGGAGTGGCGTCCTCTGTGTGGCTCACAGCACGTTCCCTGGATGGTACAATACCACTATGCATGTCACACACATACACACACACACACGTCATCATGACTCTGGCTGCCATATGACTCAGCCTTGAGCCCAGAGCCCTTTGGCCCAAAGAGGCTTTTCTCAGGCACCCAGCTGGAAACACTGGGACCTTGGGATTGGAAAACTGGGCTGTGTCTGAACATTTTACTAGCTAAATCCGTACATTATCCCTTGTTTCCTCAATTTCTTTCAAAGCTCAAAGCTTATCCTCCAATGTGGAGGAAACAATGATGGAGGAGCCAATCATTTGGCTAGTAGTGTTTTCAGACACAGCCCTGGAATGGTAAAACTAATTTGGCTAACAGGATCTTGTGTAAGTGATCCAGAGATTGTTGTGATTTAAGATGGGAAGAAGGGAGGGTAACCAGGGAGGGAGGGAGGTAGGGAGAGAGGGAGGTTGAGATAGAGGAGATGAGAGACGGATGGAGAGAGAGAGAGGGATGGGAAGGGAGGAAAACCAGGGAGGAACTGAGGGATGGAGGGATGTTTGAAAGCAAGACAGGTGTAGACCTTACCGTGAAATACTTACGAGCTCTTTCCCAAAAATGCAGAGTTAAAAAGTAAGAAAAGATTACCAAATAATAAGAAAAAAAGGAAATAGTAACACAATAAAATAACAATAACGAGGCTATATACAAGGAGGACCGGTACCACAAAATGTCAGGTCACGGAAGTCTGGAACTATCCTATCAACATCCTTTCAAAACTGGTTGAATGGCTACAGTTGAAGTCGGAAGTTTACATACACCTTAGACAAATACATTTAAACTCAGTTTTTCACAATTCCTGACATTTAATCCTAGTAAAAATTCCCTCAGTTAGGATCACCACTTTATTTTCATAATGTGAAATGTCAGAATAATAGTAGAGAGAATTATTTATTTCAGCTTTTATTTCTTTCATCATATTCCAAGTGGATCAGAAGTTTACATACACTCAATTAGTATTTGCTAGCATTGCCTTTACATTGTTTAACTTGCGTGAAACGTTTCCGGTAGCCTTCCACAAGCTTCCCACAATAAGTTGGGTGAATTTTGGCCCATTCCTCCTGACAAGGCTGGTGTAACTGAATCAGGTTTGTAGGCCTCCTTGTCCGCACACGCTTTTTCAGTTCTGCCCACAAATGTTCTATAGGATTGAGGTCAGGGCTTTGTGATGGCCACTCCAATACCTTGACTTTGTTGTCCTTAAGCCGTTTTGCAACAACTTTGGAAGTATTCTTGGGGTCATTGTCCATTTGGAAGACCCATTTGCGACCAAGCTTTAACTTCGGTTTTGGAGCAGTGGCTTCTTCCTTGCTGAGCGGCCTTTCAGGTTATGTTGATATAGGACTTGTTTTACTGTGGATATAGATACTTTTGTACCTGTTTCCTCCAGCATCTTCACAAGGTCCTTTGCTGTTGTTCTGGGATTGATTTGCACTTTTCGCACCAAAGTACATTCATCTCTAGGAGACAGAACGCGTCTGCTTCCTGAGCGGTATGACAGCTGCGTGGTCCCATGTTGTTTATACTTGCGTACTATTGTTTGTACAGATGAACGTGGTACCTTCAGGCGTTTGGAAATTGCTCCCAAGGATGAACCAGACCTTTGGAGGTCTACAATATTTTGTCTGAGGTCTTGGCTGATTTCTTTTGATTTTCCCATGATGTCAAGCAAAGAGGCACTGAGTTTCAATGTAGGCCTTGAAATACATCCACAGGTACACCTCCAATTGACTCAAATTATGTCAATTAGCCTATCAGAAGCTGCCATGACATCATTTTCTGGAATTTTCCAAGCTGTTTAAAGGCACAGTCAACTTAGTGTATGTAAACTTCTGACCCACCGGAATTGTGATACAGTGAATTATAAGTGAAATAATCTGTCTGTGAACAATTGTTGGAAAAATTACTTGTGTCATACACAAAGTAGATGTCCTAACCGACTTGCCAAAACTATAGTTTGTTAACTATAAATTTGTGGAGTGGTTGAAAAACGAGTTTTAATGACTCCAACCTAAGTATATGTAAACTTCCGACTTCATCTGTAGTTTTACCCCTTTAAGCACCTGCAATTTACCACTGGTGATATAAATTACACAGTAAACGAGAATTGCCTCCAACCAAATAATTAGAATTTTGAATCATTTAGTCCAGACAATTTTTTTACTTTGAAGTGAAAAATCTCAATTTCAGATATTTCTTTTGGGTCCTGTGCAGTTGTAAATCAAACAAATGTCATGTTTAAGATGAGGGAGGAGGATACTTTTTTTAATGAGCATGGCCTTATTTCTATTACAGCATATTGGATGACTGTCATTCATATTCCATTCACCCAGTTCAATGTAACATCAATAGTTTTAGGCTACTACATGATACGAAAAATGTTCCCTATACACATCATGAGGTTGCTACAACCTAGTGTATGAATGAAAGTTTACAACGTAGGTGCACACAGGTCGAGAGAAAGATTTGAGGTGACAGACAGTGACACATGGACAGACAGTGACACATTCAATATCGCCTTGCACACTCTTGCCTGCATCTAGCTGATTTAGGGTGTAATCATTAGCCCAACAGTTGCAAACGAGAGTTTCTATTGGACAAATTCAGATATGTTTATCCCTGTTTCGTTCCGTTTGCTTCAGTTTAAGAAACAGAATTGGCGGAATGAATACACTCCTGATCACACGCAAACAGTTCACTTTCATAGCCACATACAAACAGCTCATTATATTCCTTCTCGAATCTAAGCGCTCTCCTCTCACCTTTTCCCTTCGCTTGTGGACTTCAATGCACAACACATCAGCTGTCTGTGACCAGGCAAAAAAAGCTTTCCAAGCCAAACCTTCATATCATAACTGCTACACACAGCCCACATTGTTGTCACCATATTAACTAAAGTAACGTCATAGTCAACATAGCTAATATAACTAATTCCTCTGGAAGTTGTCATAATTACTGTATAAGTCTTTGGAAGGGGGTGAGAACCATGAGCCTCCTAGGTTTTGTATTGAAGTCAATGTACCCAGAGGAGGACGGAAGCTAGCTGTCCTCCGGCTACACCATGGTGCTACCCTATAGAGTGCTGTTGAGGCTACTGTAGACCTTCATTGCAAAACAGTGTGTTTTAATAAATCATTTGGTGACGTGAATATACAGTATTTTGTATAGTTTTATCTAAAAAGTATAACTTTTTAAATGTTTCACTATTTTTATTTTTATGAAATTCACTGAGGAGGATGGTCCTCCCCTTCCTCCTCTGAGGAGCCTCCACTGGTGTGTGTGCGTGCATGTGCGTACATGTCTTCTCATGTCTTGTATGTGTGTGGATGTGTGTATGACTATGCGTGCGTGCATGCGTTCATGCCTGCCTGCTTGCCTGCGTCCATGTGTGTGTGTGAGCATCTCTCTCTCTCTGCAGGGCTCAGTAGCTGTGTTCTCCTCATCTCTGTATCATCTGCAGCAGTACATCTAAGTAGCCATGAAATGGGATTATGATCAAATCAAGGTTTATTTGTTGCTTACACAGATTAGCAGATGTTAAAGCAGGTGAAGCAAAATGCTTGTGTTTCTAGCTCCTGCAGTACAGTAAATGTCTAACAGTACAATACTAATACACTAAAAATAAAAAAAGAGAGAAACAAGAAATTAAGAAATATCAGAATGAGCAATGTCCCCCACAATTTCCCACTCTCCCATACCGAATAGCATGAAGCCACAGGGCTCTTCTCGCAGGCTCCATTTCCCTACGTGGGATCATT